TAACCTCCCTAATAGTCCTTCCCTCTTCTTAACCTCTGCTTAGAATCCTAATGAAAAGCAGATAATAGATGAGTCACTAAAGCAACGATTCTTTGCTCATTTTATATTCCAGTAACCTGTGGCTGTGTTTTAGAGAAGGAAAGCGGATCCAGCAATTCAACAGTGACTAGAGCGAGATCACACCAGGCCACCTTAGAGGTAGAACTTGGAGGACATAACTGGAGTTAAAATACTATGGCTAAGGGCTACTGAAAAACTACTGTTGGTCCTTCTCCTCCAAACTTTAGTGGCCACATAATACTGAGGGCAAAGAAACACATTATTTTTGTTGTTGTTCATAGATGTCTATGAACCTGTCTCCCTTCATTGGATTTTTCTTTTTCCATTTGTCAGATAGAGGCTTGCAGCTGCAGAAGACGATTAGTCCTGTGCTCTCGTACTGAATCCCTTTACCTGCTGCTAACTGAAATTGATGGGTATTACATGTGCACTCAGCAGCATTTGCCACCAGTTCAGTACTTCTGTTCAGGAGCATGGGGCCACTAGCATTTGTCCTCTGTAGCTACAAGTGCTGACTAACTGGTATATGTCAGATGAGAGGAGGGAAAGCAGGTAAGCTGCTCGCCAGTTAAGGTGGGCAGCTGGACCCTGAAATGTTTCACTTCTCTGTTTTTAAAAACATTAATTATTTTTGAAGTGCATAACAAATACTCATACAATACAGTAATGCCATCTGATTATAGGACATACTGAGTATGATTTCCACACCCTGTCCCATTATCTAGTCATACTCATTCTGCAAACTAGGTGTAAAACACTATCATGCTGATCTGATAGAATTTCACATTCACTTTGTCTGTGCAACCTTTATTCAGCCCCCTTGTGCGTATGCATTATGATACAGTCTTTAATTACATGATCACATACTATTTTTTCAGAGGACCCCTGCCTCATTGGATGGGCACTGAGACGGTCCACGCCCCCAAGGTTGCGAGCGGCGTGGACTATCTGCCACCGTCCGTAAAATAGCCCTTCAGTCCAGGGCAGTGTGGCCTAGCGGCCAGAGTCTACGGAGTCCCCTTTACTTCAAGGAGACGCGGCCTGACAGCAGGAGCCTATAACATGGCCCTTGGCTACAGGGCAGTGGGGCCTACCAGCCAGAGTCCAGGAAGCAACCCTTGGGTGGAGGGTAGCGTGGTCTAGCAGCCAGAGTCTTTATCATTGGGGTGCGACAGCCCCAGTAAGGGGGGCCCCAGCCCGGGGCCCTAACAGTAGCATAGTGGTTTGCCACCAACTCAGCGGGGGGTTCCAACCGAAACACGCTGAGTTTCCCGGGGGGAGGGGGGGGAGGTACCACTCTGTCACCCTCCCAGGGTCACTTCCTACCAGGCTCTCCGTTGGGATCTCCCAGGAGTCATCGGGTCCTTGGTACTCAGCGGATTCGGTGGTCTCCTGGGTCTCCTCCAATCGCCGGGGCGCAGGCAGGCCGTGGACGGCGTCTCTTCCCGGTGCAGTCAGCGGCTGTGGCTGGTCCGCTGCAGGAGCTCCCCCGGCAGGTCCTTCTCCTACGGGCTCCAGCCCAGAATGAGCTGGTCTCCCTCCCTTTATACTCCTGTAGCACTTGGAGCATGCCCAGTCTGCCCGGGGAGGCGGGACTTCCGCTGCCAGTCCCTGGGGCTTAACTCCTTCTGGGTTAAGGCGGGGTAGTCTGGCCCCGCCACAGGCACTCAGAGGGGAGGAATTAAGGTTGCACTGGCAACTTTAAAGCTGGCATTTCCTAACTTCTAAGTGCTTGAATCTGAAACCTAAACACCATTATTTGAACATAGTTTTTTTTGTACGTAATATACAAATATGGGGCCTGCTCTGGCTGCTTTGTGCCACTCCGTTGATGCAAACCCGCCAAAAACTCATGGTTAGGATTGCTTTGCCTCACCAGAATGAGGCAAAGCATCTGGCGCATCCTTGTGAATGTGGTCTACAAGTTTTATCCTACATACAAGACAGCAACAGCAATTGAGCAGAATCGATCTAGAATATACACAATAATAAAAACTCCTAATGTAGAATAGTATAACGTGAATCTCATACTCTGCGACACGTCTTTTCACTAAGTAAATTAAGATACACTCTCCTCATCATTGTGATGCAATTGGCCACATATTGGCAAAATAAACATTCAAGAACCTTTTAAGACGATTCGAGAAATTCCTCCAAACTACACAGGACTCAGATAGTTTGTTTTGTGCTATATCAGTTAATCTCACTGAGTCAATTATCACACATTCAACAGCAGTCCTGAGTTGTTTAATAATTGGAGTCCCATTTGTGCAACAATAACCATTTTGTATACTATAGGACTATCACACTGGGCATTTCATTATGTTCTGTGGGTGAAGAGCTCTAACTCTTAGTTTTCTTATGCAGAAACTAATTTTATTTTTATTGTTTCAAAGCTTCCCATTTGCTCATGGTGGAGGTCAGAGGTAACCTTGTGTCTGATCCTATGTTCATCCTCCAATGGAGCTTAATCACACACTAAAAACTAGAGCTTGTTGAAGTTTTTCACATGGAAAGTTTTTTTCATTGAAAATTTGCCCTTTTGCAAGTAAACAACCTTATGCAAAAAACATTGTCAACATTTTTGAAATTTCCCATTTTCACTAAATTTGCCAAGATTTATTTTACCAATATCCTCACCAATGTCGTTGTTTAAATTATAACAATAATTTTCAGTCATTAGAATTTTAATTTATATACTTATTTCACCAGAAACAGTGTTTTCTTTCTGAAATCTGTGTTTTCAGCAAATAAAAAAATTGGAAAAACATTTTAAATACATTTTGAAAATTATTTTAGTAAAACACATTAACAGACCATTCCACAGAAAACAGAAAGTGGATCCATTTCAAACTATGTGGAACAGAAAAAAATTCAAAATTTCAAAAATGTTGGCAAAATTGTTTTTGTGGGTTTTTTGACCAGTGTCTCTAACAGCTGTAGTTAAGAATATACGTGTACCAGAGTTTTTTTGTATGAAGATTTCATTATAAAGGGTTCATCTGCACTGTTAGTGATGGAAATGCTTTTTCAAGTTATATTTCAAGAGACATTCCTGCTATCAGAACAGGGATCCCAATTCTGTACTATTGTTGCTGAGTAAAACTAAATATAGAAACATGCACACAGAGGAACATATCTCTTCCATCTCTGTCAAAACTGTCATCAAACAATTCTGTGCTTTATAGAGAGAGAAATCTTTTTACTTGTTTGATTTGAAGATTTTCCATCCCTTTGGGACCCTTTCATAGAAAGGTAAAAAAAAATTGCACCTGATATGGTAAAAATGACAGAACACTCAAGACAGGGAGGTGTCTAATCCGTGAACCATTCCCACTGATTAGCGTCTAGAAGAGCACAGATACTGCAGTCTTCCTTGTGTAACTGCTACATATAGCTTGTTTGTGAATCAAAGAAACTTGACTACAGTAGACCATGTCACTTATGAGGCATTCTAAATGGGAAAGAGTCTGAAAGGACAAACTACAATGAAGTCTTTGGAAGAAAAGAAGTTAAGTGATAAAGTGAGCAGTGGCATATTCACCTGTGAAGTCTCAGCTATGAATTTAGTTACCTCCCTGCCCTGTCTCCACAAAACAGACTAAGGTACCTGGCTTCATGAATTTAAGAACCTGGCTGAGATATAGAGATTAAAAATAACACTACAAACCTACATTTGAAGCCAGGTCCCTGACTTGCCAAGCTGGTCCCCTGGACCCTAGAGTCTATTTTTATTGACCTTCCAAGCATACTGCAAGACCTGTCCGAGTACACAAGCTTTTGCCTGAAGGAACCTGGGGAGCAATGTGAGATTCTGTCTTTTAAGGGGTGTGTTGGAATATTTGCTGACAATGTGCCAATTTTAAAATCTGTTGTTTAACAATTATATTGTTCTATGAGTGCTAAGCTGCTTGCCAGTCAAGGTGGGCAGCTGGACCCTGAAATGTTTCACTTCTCTGTGGGGTTTTTTTTTTTTGCATATTTTTGTAATCAAAATCAATAAATAACTTTTCTAAAGTTCAAGGTGATGGTGTATTCTCTTACAAGTTAGCCAGAGTGACTATGTTTACAAATGAAAGTTATGAATGGCTGAAAACAAGCAGTTAAATTGGAAATTGCCTGCAATTATGGCAAGCTCTGCTGCTGGTGCTAAAATATGTACATATTAATAGGCAGTGTGATCTACTCTTTAGAGCCAAGAACTCTTGGATTCAAACCCCAGTTCTTCCTCTGATTTGTTTTCTTGCCTTGGGCAAGTCACTCAGGCGAACGTTTACAAAGTGACATCTGATTTTGGGTACCTCCATTTTTGTGTGCCAACCTGAGACACTTTGGGTCTGATTTTCAGAAGTGCTGAGTCCCCACAATTCTAGTGGAAGGCAACTGGAACAGCAGATGATGAGCACCAGGTATCTCAAGATGGGCACCTAACAAAGAGGCACACAAGCGCAAAGGCCACTGTAGAAACTGTTCAGTGTAACTTCTGTTTCTCTTTCATTAAATGTAAAATGGGAATAATAATGTTTACCTACCTCTCAAGGGTGTTCTAAAGATGAATTAGTGTTTGTAAAGCACTTTGCAGAGCAAAGTATTCAGTATTATTATAACTCAGAACATTGTGTGAACACTAATATACAATTATACCTAACATGCTTTTGTATACTTGGATATAAGATCTGTTCAATCAATTATTTCACTAAACATGCAATTTCACTTTCTTCAGCCATTAATACAATAAACATCTCACCCTTCTGGTAAGCTATGTTGAGATTTCACATGTCATTTCATTCCGATCTTGACAAGAATGTGTTTTTTCTGTATGCTTAGTTTTGTTTCCATAGTAACATTTCATCAAATAAATACTGTAATTGCTCCTCAGTTACAAAATTGTTGCCTAAAGAAAACAATGTTTTCCTCTGTTCTTTCCTCTCCCTCACCAGTGCATAGTTTGGGACTGGGATTCCAATGGCAAACATGACTTCATTGGAGAATTTAGTTCAACATTCAAGGAAATGCGAGGAGCAATGGAAGGGAGACAGGTAGGTGAAAACCCTGTATAACATCTGAATTTCCTGACCAGATTTCAAGTTGACTTGCCCCATATGCAGTTCCATTGACTTAAATGGAGTGTAAGTTAGTATAGAATTTAAGCCCACCTATTTATTAGATGTATCAGGAGAGTTTCATTAAAGTTCATTGTTGAGTCCAGAATTTGACCTGGAGTACAGTGCTGGGTGCCTCTTGAAAGATTTGGAGGTGCATTTTGGTAGTTTACCCAAACCTGTTTGGTTTCATGGAGAATAGGTCCATCAATGGCTAATTAGCCAGAATAGGCAGGGATGGTGTCCTAGCCTCTGTTTGCCAGAAGCTGGGAATGAGCAACAGGGAATGGATCACTTGATGATTACCTCTTCTGTTCATTCCCTCTGGGGCACCTGGCATTGGCCATCATCAGAAGATAGGATACTGGGCTAGATGGACCTTTGGTCTGACCCAGTATGGCTGTTCTTATGTTCTGAAATTGAGCTGGAAGTTTATGAAAATATTGATCTTACTTCTCACACGATTTCAAGAGTTTCTTGGTTATATTTGGAGGGGGAGGTGCAGTAAGAGTAGCTTCTCCGTCCTCCTGCTTTTGGTCTTGACCAAACCCAAGAAGTGTAGAGAAACTCAAGAGTGATCACAAAACAGAAGGTTAGCTGAATGGATGGATAAAAAAGTTCTGATTTTGTCTGAACCAGTTCATCTCTACTAAAGAGGTGATCTATGTAAGCTAACCATTTTCATAGGAACTGTCACGAGAACTCATAAGATTTGCCATGAAATCTCCTGATAATTCACTAGTATAAAAAAGATATATGTGTTATCTGTAAAATCCCTGCACTGTTGCTTTGTTGAGAAGTGGTTAATCTACAGAACTGGGAGCCAGGATTCTTGCATTCCTTTCTCTGCTCTGTGCTTGAATCTGTAAATTAGAGCAAATCTTCTGATAGAGGTCTGCTTTTCATAGACGCTGGGTGCCTGCAACCAGGGCCGGCTCTAGGTTTTTTGCTGCCCCAAGCAAAAAAAATTTTGGCTGCCCCCGTCCCTGCCCTGGGCTCCTTGCCGCACCCCCCCTGCCGCCCCAGCCCTGGGCTCTCCTCCACCACCCGCACCCCCATGCCGCCCCAGCCCTGGGCTCTCCCCGCCCTGACCCGCACCCCCCTGCCGCCCCAGCCCTGGGCTCTCCCCCCCCCACACACACCCCCTGCTGCCCCAGCCCTGGGTTCTCCCCCCCCACACACACCCCCTGCCGCCCCAGCTCTGGGCTCCCCCTTACCCCCCCACCATTGCCCCCCACACACACCTCGTGCTGCCCCAGCCCTGGGCTCCCCCCACACACCTGCACCCTCCTTCCACCGCAGCCCTGGGTCACTGGTAACTCGCTCCCAGGGCGGGTCATTCAGCAGGAATTTTAGATGTGCACAGAACACAGACAGGATTGGTTCCCATATGGTTACAGAACTGCAGTAAAGTGGAACAATTTTCAGCTTGTGTGATTGGAGGATATCTGGATGCATATTATAAGACTGTGCTACATAAATGAGGAAAAGTTGAGGTGCCTTTATTATTCTTTTGTTCCACTCTTTCTTTCTATGGGGAATTTGCCAATGCAATATCACTGTCTTCCTTTTAAACAAACAAACAAACAAACAAAAAAAGGCAATGGCTGTTGAAAATAGCAATTCCAGTCCTAATAACCACTGGGAAGTATTTCTTGCTCAATTTTATCCTACTTTTTCTACAGCAAGTTACAGTGGATCAGTATATTTGATTTGGGAGAAATGAAGTAACAGCTGCCCAAACTGAGCTTGAGCACTCCTGAATTTTGAGGTGTTCAAATCTGGAAGGCAGGTGCTGGGGGGGCCCTGTGGCTCCGCAGGGGAGCATGGCAGCTGTATGCAGCAGCGTGTCTGGC